TCAGCTCCCTACAAACCCGATTGTGAGAGGGGAACCGTGGCCATGAGCAGCCCACTCAGCGTGGGGTGTCCCCGAGAGCATCCCGGGGTGCTATGGGCACCTCGCTGGGGCAGCTCCCGGGCTCTGGGAGGTGGAGCTACGTCCGAGGGGGACATTAGCCTCAAGGGGAGAGGGGTGAATGCACGTGCTTGTGCCTGTATTTGAGGTTTAATTTCAGGGGTTGTGGGGTTGTTTTCCTCCTTTGCAGCATGATCAGGTCAGGAAGTTACCCCGGAGAACGGCCCCTTTGCGTTTTGGGTGAAAAACTCACCATTTGCCTCTCGTTCTTCACCTCCTTCTTCAGCTGATCCAGCTCCATCTTCAGCAGCTCCTTCTCTGTCATGTCCTGAGCCATTTTGCCCTGTAACCACATCATTAGTGTATAGATGGGCTTCTCCTAAGGCACGTTAGGACTATCGCTTCGGCTCAACAGTGTTGCAAATGCTGCTAAGTTCTCAGCTACCCCCTTAGTGAGATGTGGGAAACAAAAAAGAAACCTGAGGCGGGAGGCACCTTTCAAAACTCTTTGTGTGACATCTGCTGTAACCAGATTTTCGTTTGCGTGTTCTCAGCAGGCACATCGAGCGGCCGATGCAGTGTGAGGGCAGTGGAGGAGGAGCAAGCCTGGTTTTTGAAGGGGTTTTTGCTGCCGCAGAGGCTGTTTCCCCAAGACGTGAGGTGGCCAGTACGGCCGGAGAAAAGCCGCTGCCTCGGAGCAGAAGCCTCGCAGCAGAACCTGGATGCCCAGGTCTGCAAACTACACCTTCCTGCTCTGTGTCCTGTGCCTGGGCCGGAGCATCTTTGCAGGTTTTCTAAGGGACGAAAGACCCTTTTATTGCCTTTTTTTTTTTCCTCCTCTCCCCTCCTTATGCCCACCCCCCAGGTAAGCGCTAACGTGGACCGAGGCCCCTTCATTGCTGTGAATTCGTCTGTTTGCACGCAGAGGCGTTGCGGCGACAGGAGGATTTTGGGGCCGTGTGCGTTGGAAAAGCCCAGCTCTTTTTTTTTCCACGAAAACCCCTCCAACGGTTATGTGAGATTCCCACACAGTTGGCCTGCGCTGCTGAGATCTGTTCCTGTGTTTGGGTTTGAAACCCTGGCCACAGCTTTTTAAAATAAAGAAGTAACTGTGATTAAACTGAAACATGCCTTGGCCCTGGTTTGGAAGGTCTCAGGCTTGCGCATCCCAGACCCCTCTGGTTTTCTGCAGCGGCTCTCGTGGTGTGACTGCCCAGTGCTCGTCCCCCCATCGATGCCGTTGGGGCACAGCCGGCCCCGGGAGACGCCCCGGGCAGGGGGTGAGGGGCCCAAAT